GGGGGGGTTGCAGGAGGGGCTCTGAGGGGCGTGCGGAGAGGTCCAGGACGGACCCTGGAGCCCTGGGAGTGAGTCCCTCTCGGACGGCTTCAGGGGTTGTCCTGGGGCGCTCGGTGGAGATGATAGCCAAAGTGGGGGTCCCGGCCCCCCGCCCTTCCTCCTGCCCCTCGCCCCGCTCTGCATCGCCCCTTCCCGGGGTGGTTTTTGGGGGGCAGGTGAAAACGAGCCAACAAGTGCCGCGCAGGACGGCGCACACTCGAGGTCTGTTAGCGCGAGCCACGCTCCTGCAGCCGCCCTGGGCCCGGGGGGGCCACGCTCTGCTCCCCAGGGGGCTCATCCTCACCCAGGGGCGCAGCGGGATTCCCTGGGGCGCCCCATGCAGACACGCCGGGCAAGGGCAAGGATCCGCTCACTGCTCTGCCCTGTCCCGGCTATTTCAGGCTCTCGGCTCCCATCCCAGCGCTCCCAGCATGGGCGCGGAAAGGGCAATTCCCACATGGGACACGGGCAAAGCGGGCGGGCATCGGGCGCTCTGCAGAAGCCACCATTGCCACCCCATGGCGCATGCAGGACCTGGGTGCACCCCACGCATGCAAAGTGTCTCCCCCCTCGGCGCGCTCTGGAGCTCGCGGCCGCCTTGTCACCGTGCCCGTGTCCCCGCAGCCCCTCCGTCCTCCCCATGGCGGCTGTGGCGGCCGAGCTGGACAACATGGAGGTGCAGGCGGCCAACAACAACAGCGCGTGGGAGGGCAGCGAGCCGCGCGGCTGGGACGAGACCACCGCCTCCGCCAAGCTCTTCGAGTGCTCCCGCATCAAAGCCCTGGCCGGTGCGTGCGGGTCGCCACGGGGGTGATGGATGGAGCGAGGATGGATGGAGCGAGGCAGTGGGAAGGGGCCGGGGGGGACACCCGGACGCCCGGGCCCCTCGCGGGGGCTGATGCCGTCTCTCCACGCAGACGAGCGGGACGCCGTGCAGAAGAAAACGTTCACCAAGTGGGTGAACTCCCACCTGGCGCGCGCGTCCTGCCGCGTCTCGGACCTCTACGCGGACCTGCGCGACGGCTACGTGCTCACGCGGCTGCTCGAGGTGCTCTCGGGCGAGCAGCTGGTGAGCGGCGGCGGCGGCGGGCGCGCGCCGG